ATGTTTATGCATGCAAGTCCCACGTGCTTTATAAAGGGACACAAGCTACCACTTTTCCCACTCCTGAAATATAGCACCCTCTGTGGTGAAACACAGCAAATGACCAAGACACGGAAACTCTGCACGTCCATTTAGGACAGGCAGTGAAGTAGAATGCTGCATCCATTTAAAACCACCAAGGTAGTTTAAGGAAGGAGAGAATTCCAAGCTGGAATTTGGCCAGGGTTACACCCTGTTAGGAGTGCTAGTAATACAGAATTCAGGCCTGTATTTTTGCCTGAGATAGAATTTTAGATTTGTTTGCTCATTTAATTTTTGATACATTTATATTCCTACTAATATGCATAAACAAAGGACAGACACTGTGCATGTTGCTTCTGCCTAGCCAGATACGTTTGTTAGTATAATGGGAACAGATAAGAACAGTTAAAGTGTTACTGGGTATAATGAAAGTATAATATAGGAGTGCACATGTTAACACTGCCTCAACCTCTATCTTAAGGGAAGGTCAAAGAACCCGTTGGGAAGGGCAGGAGGGGATTGGGGGGAAGGTATAAAAAAAAAACACTAAAAGGCCACACACACACAAAAAAAGCGCACCTGTTCCTGACTGTACCACCTCACTCCTTACCCCTCCCATGGGATACAAAAGAGGTAGGACAAAACCCCCAGACTCATGTCTCCCAAAACGGAACATGACCATCAATTGTAAGGGGGGGATCCCAAGCGTGCATTGCAGGTATAATTCTGCCTGCTAAAGTGGGGAGAGAACGGAACACTGGGGAACAAGGCTCTGCAGTGTCAAAGTTATTGACATGCTGCCTGAAAACCAACCCCAATAAACATCGCATTGCCTGCACTTCAGACTTCTGGTTTTCTTGTTACGCAGAAAGAAAGCAGAACCAGGGGAGGGGGGTGAAGAGAAAGCCCGCTACACACCCATCTGCTTGTGCACACGTAGTGTCTTCATTGATCCAGCTTTGGTCTCACATCACTTCCCCAGCACACTGGAGAGCAGGGAAGAAAGAGCGCCCCCTGCTGAGTTACTAATTCCACTTTCTCCAGGGCTCTAGTGCTACGTATCAGGAATGATGGGCCTGGAGTCCTTGCAGCTGACCTGGGGCTGGCTGGCTCAGCCCTCAGGCAGGCTAATGAGCCCAGCTGGGCTGTGGCAGAATCGCCTGATTGGCTCTTCCACTGGCTGCAAGGAGACTACGGATCTGCATTTAAACTCAGCGGCAGGTCGCTGACTCCTCTATGCTTCTGCCTGCAGCTGCGATCACTCCTGTGCCCACCTTGTTTCCAGTCCTGCTCAGTTCCTGTCTCCAGCTTTGACCCTTGGCTCTGACCGCTCGGCCTGACCTCTCATGCCCTGGTCTGTGACACTACATGTTGCCCTCTGCAGTGGGAGGGACGCTCCCTCTACATGCAATCGAAGCCCTGGTTGCTGGCACCCACAGTAACCCCTCACCTGGAATATTGACCGAGTTGGTGATATGGCCGTTCGCCACCTCCTCCGGCAACCGCACGTCAATAATCCGAGCATTCCTGCTGTCGACCAGCACTTTCATGTCCTTGTGGGAAATGACGTTTCCTTTATGGAAAGCAGAAACCAGCAGTCACTTCTTCCGCTCCCCTCGCAAGCCTCCTCCCCCAGCAACCAGGGGCAAACCCCTCTGCTCCCCCCATCACAGGGACGGAGAGTCGGGGGGGTCTGCAGCAGATCAGCCCTTGCAGCCCCTCCCATGGTCTAGTCTCCTCCCCGTGTGAGATGATTCCTAGCTACACTGAGGCCCTGTACACGGCTCTCAGTGAGAAACTGCACTTCACACCACCAGGGCCAGGGCTATATATATAAAAGGGCCTTTGTCATATCTGTCAGAATTCTGATTTACACAAGCTCTTGGGCAAAACTGGAATTACATTAAACCCAACCAACTTAAGTTTAAGTATTTTGGGAGTCCAGGGATTGTACGGCACTTCTCTGGGAGGATGGCCTTGACTAATACAATTTCTGGACGATATCAGAAACTTCAGGGGATGTTTTGGGACAATACATGGGAAGTGGATTTCCCAGGAAATACTTGGAGGCTGAGGGAAATGCAAATGACCCACCTCCATCTATCCTTTAGAACAGTGATTCCCAAACTTTAACAACCTGTGAACCCCGTTCACTAAAATGTCAAGTCTTGCAAACCCCCTCCCCTAAAAATGAATATTTCGAGGAATTTTCTCCTTTACCCGAGTATAAATTATAAAAGCAGTGATCTTGGAAATATAAAATTTGTTTTTATGGCATGCTTATTACACACTATTTATTATTTTTCATTACAGTATGTTTATTATATTATGAAAATGGCAACACTCTTCCAAGATCTCACTTTCGTAGCTTGTATCACTTTGAATAAGCCTGTTATAAGACAAGGCTCCTATGTTTCATCAAGGAGCATCAGATGTGAAACAGCAGGAAGGTACTGTATTTAAGAAGCCAACTCAAAGAGTTCCTCCTACACAAGCATTCAGGTCTTGAGCAGTCCAGGCAAACAACGCACGTTACAACAAAGCTTAAACTTGTTGTTCATAATAATGTTAAAAACAATACTAGCTGCCTATTTAATTAAAAAAACCAGCAAAAAATATTCACCTCCCTTTCCATTTCTTATAAGGAGTCTTGAAGTTTAAATCTCCTCAGTGTGATAGATATGCTTGCTTTGATCTGCTTAGCTCTTGGAAGTCCAGGGGCTCCGGGCTACTGACCCTGTGCTGCCCGGGATCCCTGGGGACAGCTCTGCCTGCCATTAAGGAATCCCCCCCCCTTTGCCCCCGAGAACCCCCTGTGACGTTGTGCAGTCTATATGGTTTTATAAAAACTTGATAATAACTCAATATACTGTAACTGAGATAGTTTT